GTTAGCCGCTGAATGCGATAGGTTTAAAATAGACGTAATTGGCATTAGCGAAGTCAGATGGAATGGTACAGGTGAATTCACAAACCAAAAGGGAGGTGTACTTATGTACTCCGGCATGCCCGACGAACAAGACCCTCACATCCGAGGCGTTGCAGTTTACGTAAGAAAAAATGTTAAGCACTCAATCTTATGCTGGAAAGCTATATCCGAAAGAATAATAGTAGTACGTTTTCGCGCAAAGAAATTCAATATGTCTCTAGTACAATGCTATGCTCCAACAGAAGATAGTCCACTTGACCAAAAAGAAGTTTTTTACAGTGCGCTAGAAAGAACGCTCTCTGAAATTCCTAGAACCGATGTAATTATTCTTATGAGCGATTTCAATGCGGAAATAACTCAGAGTATCGAACTGTAAGAGGTTCTCATGGCATTGAAACATGTGACGAGAATGGGGAGCTGTTTTTGGAACTTTGTATAAATTATGATCTCAGGATTAGAGGATCCCTATTTCCTCATAAAACGTGTCACAAGGTCACTTGGAAGTCCCCCGCTGGCAACTTCGAAAGTCAAATTGATCATATCTGCATTTCAAAACGATGGAGTAAAGTTCTATGTGATGTCAGAAACAAAAGAAGCGCTGATATCGACAGTGACCACTATTTAGTGGTGGCCGAACTGAAATTTAATATACCTAAACATAGGTATGAACACCCGCAGCATACACGGCGCACGTATAATACCACAAAGCTTAATGTTGGAGCGGTAAAGAATGAAATGATCGAACGTATTAACAACGTCAGTTTGATGGAGGATGCTTCTATTGAGGAAACGTGGCTTCATATTAAAACAAATCTCGAAGAGATCTGCAAGGACACACTAGGCTACCGTAAAAACGAGCAAAAGGAATGGTTGTCGGCAAACTCTTGGGAGCTCATTGCTCAGAGAAGGTGAGTTACAACGAAAATGTTAAGCGAGGCAGATCCGTTTAAAAAAGCCGAATACAACATAACGTACAGAAGTCTCAGTAGACAGATCAAGAAAGCAGTCAAAAGCGACAAGAGAAACTATTACGTTGAACTAAGCATGAAAGCGCAAGCAGCATCAGAAAAGGGCGACATGAAGGAGCTGTTTAAGTTAACTAAACAACTAGGTGGAATATCTTTCCAAAGCAGCGCTCCAATTGAAAATGAAAACGGACAGCTGGTGTTTGCTAAGAACGAGCAGGCAGAAGTTTGGAAAAGACATTTTGAGAAAACCCTAAATATCATACACAACGAAAGTGGCGAGCTCACAATACCAAGACATCTAAATCCTAACAGACAAATAGATACAAGGGCACCTAGCGTTAACGAAATAAGAGGTGTAATCATTAGCATGAAAAGTGGTAAAGCACCAGGTAATAATTGTTTACCAATAGAGTGTTTTAAGGCAGACCCCAATGCTGTGTCCAAACTTTTGCTCCCCTTGTTTGAGAAAATCTGGGAACTAGAGTCATTCCCTCTCGAATGGAAGGAGTCTATCATCGTCAAACTGCCGAAAAAAGGCGATAGAAAGAAATGCAGCAACTGGAGGGGAATTTCTTTAATACCAGCAGTTTTCCAAATTTTCAACAAAATAATATTAGAAAGAATCGCCGTAACATTAAACGAGCTTATTCATAAAACTCAAGCAGGTTTTCGCCCTGGGCACTCGTGCATCGACCAAATTAACACGATTAGAATACTTATTGAACAAGCCTCAGAATGGAATGCAACCTTGTATTTAACATTTATTGATTTTGAAAAGGCTTTCGACGCGCTTAAGAGAAGTTACATATGGATGGCGTTAAACGCTAATGGTATCCCTAATAAGATCATTAATATTCTCAAGAAGAGCTACGAAGGGGCCACGAGTAGAGTTTTACATGAAGGTACTCTTAGCGACAGCTTTAATTGCAACAGTGGAGTGCGACAGGGTTGCGCCCTTTCACCGTTACTGTTTATCACAGTCCTAGACGTCGTTTTAGAAGCTGTAGAAGAAAGCCCAATCGGCATTGGTTGGAAGCTGAATCAAAAGCTTGGTCATCTTGAATATGCAGACGATGTAGTACTGTTAACAAACAGACACACTGATATGCAAACTCTTGTTAATAACGTATGTGAGCAGTCATATAAAGTCGGCCTAAAAATTAACGCCTCAAAGACAAAAACAATGAGAACAAAAGCAAGCAATCAATCGCCCATCCTTCTGTACGATCAAAACATTGAAGACGTGCAGGAACTCGAATACCTGGGGAGTATAGTCAACAGCGAGGGTGGCACGTCAAAGGACATCGGCAGTAGAGTAAAAAAGGCAAATGGCTCTTTCGCATCGCTTAACAAAATCTGGAAAGCCAACAATGTAAGCGTCGAAACTAAAATCAGAATATTCAACGCCTGCGTCAAATCGACATTATTATATGGGTGCGAAATATGGTCGCTAACGAGAGCCTCGACTCAGAAGTTACAATACTTTGTCAATAAAAGCTTACGGCGTATTCTGAACATATGGTGGCCTGCAAGAGTCTCCAACGAAGTGCTATGGCAGCGTACCAAACAAAAGCCAATAGAGAAAGAAATTTTGAGACGCAAATATGGCTGGCTCGGCCACACACTTAGAAAACCGACAGATGCAATTGCCCACGCAGTCATGGAATGGAACCCACAAGGAGTAAGGAGACGAGGTCGTCCCAAAACCACCTGGCGAAGAACAGTGGCAGCAGAAACAAGCAAATCCTTTAACCAGTTACGTTTTACTGCCAGAAACAGTAGGAATGGAAGAAGTTTATAAATATTATTTGTGAATAGACTAAGATCTAATTTTTAAATTTTTAAATTTAATTTTTATAATGAAGAACATGTCTTAATAATAATAATAATAATAATTACCAATATAAAATTTATATGCATGTATGTTTTTGTAAAGCTGACTTATGTAGTTTAGATATGAACTTATTAAAGAGCGTTTTTCACAGTTGCAAATTGAGCCTGGAACCTACTCTTGTTTACAATGACAATGAACTTCTAAATATAACTTTATCACATCATAGATGGACTAACAAAAAGCTAGATCCCCAAAAAATATTAATATTAAAAATTCTTCCTATACTTTGTTCATTCAAATATGGATAGCTTGGCATATAGAAAAGTCTATTGCGTTATGGTTCTACGGAAATTTCCATTATAGGAACAATAGATTTTGTCTTTGGAAAGTTTTGATTGTAAACTAGTATTATTTATTATTATTGACATGTTCTATCATTACATCAAAGAGGTAAATTAGGAACTTAGTCTATTTACATAGGATTTCCACAAATCTTGGTTTCTAGCTATATATCTTAATTCATTAAGTATTATTCAAGCAAAATATAAATAGATAGAAATTGAGAAACATGGAAATCTGTTGAATTATACATAAAATATAAAAAAAAAACTATTAAAATTATGATGTTTTTATGTCACCAATAACTAATATTTATTTGTGTGTAAGCTGTTCTTTGTATGTAACAAGACACAAAAAATAAATATTTAAATTTGACGTCACTATGAATCTCTGTATAAGATGGGCCTACGTTAGTTAATTCATATACAGAGTATAAAAGTGCAAACATTATACATATATATATATATCAATAACCGATTCTGTTATGCAATTAGTTATATGACGAATGCTCATGACCAAAATGCATGTTATGCTGAGAATCATATCAATATATTTAATTTCCTATTTTTACTACTAGATATGCTCACTTTTGCCACCAAAAATGAACACCAGAAAAAAACTTATAGAAGGTGTAAAAATGTTAATTTATTAGATTATTTTATAATAGTTGTGACATATTTTTTTTCTCCTACGCTCAATTTTTTAATTTGCCTTGAAAGCAACAACAATTTTAATTTTGACGTGCCCATGACTTTGTGCATAACATGGCACTAAGAAATACCTACTTTACACGAGTGACAACTATATTGTTAATTAAAAAAAATTTTTTTTTAACATATTTCCATTTTACAATGCATCCAACATACTTAAAATCTAAATATTATTGCCTTTTTGTGGACTTTGCTATGATTTCCATGTGGTTGACTTGCTTTTATAAATTAAAGTAAAAACTTTTTATAATATTGAGTCATAGTAATTTAAATGACGTCATTGAAGAAAGGTTCTAAAAAAAATTTTAGGACTTGCAAATATTTTTTAGTGTTCATTATACCAAAAAAAAGTTATAATAATAGTAAGATATTAATAAGGGCCATGGCGTCGTTAGGTCCCCCCTTGCTAACACCATTACAACCTATGTGTAATGAAAAATTAAGTTGGGAATTTTTAAATTTCATTGGATTGTACGAAAACTGACAGGATTACCAACACCGCGTTATTGAATCTCAGAATGGTTACAGACTCCTTGAGGAGGTATGCAGATCTGAGGTCAATTATTGCTTAGTCTGATGAAGTCACAAACAATAATCCAGTCAGGGCGTAGAGAGGGGTTGAGAAAGAAACCTCGTAGCTAAAATAGAGTAAAAGTGCTCAAGTGCATTGACTCATCATAATAAATATATATTATATGTATATATTATTATATTATTTTATACATGTAGTATATGAAACACTCCTAGCGTTTTCAACTTGTTATATATCAGTAGGTAGTAATTTAATAAGTAATAAAGTAGAAAATGAAGGATGCTATTGTATGATGTCAGCAAGCTACTAATCGGGCTGACTGGCGGAGGCTACTCGACGTCTGTAACTGCTAACTAACAAAAGAAACAAAAAAAAAAATTCTATGATGATAATAAATAACTTGTTACAATTTTTAGCAAACATTGTTGATTGCTTAAAACTATTTATTTAAAATTTAATTAATACATACACAAGAAAAATTTTATAAATCATATTACAATTATCTATTTTACTCTCACACATTTTACATACATTTTTCAAAAATATTTCGTTGTTTTTATTAAACATTAATCGAAAATTTTACTTAATAATATTATAAGAAATTAAAATTATACAAAGTGAATTTGTTGTAATTTAACTGATACTGTTTCCGCGGCGGCTTAAATAAGAATTCAATTTTTATTGCGAGATTTATTGTGCGTTTAATCATTTGCGTTGCGTTGAGTATAAGTTTGTGGTGGGCTATGAAGTGTTCTAGTTCGGCAGGTGGGGTCTTTCTTTTATGATTGACATTATAAAAAATTTTTATGATGATGAGCTTGCAGATTATGATTTGTTATAACTACAGGTAAAAGCGGTGAAATATTCAATTTAAAAGGTTTTGATATCGTGTCTAGCGACGTGTTCGTGTTTCCTATTACTTTGGATTTTCCGTTAGGAATAATTTCGGAAATTGAATCTATCTGCTGTGCAGCTCCCTTGGTGAATGGTTGTGGTGTTAAATCGAAAATTGTAGATCACTGAATTCGTGGCCAATAATTTGAGCCTGCTAAGTCACTGGCACTTTGTGTTGGTATTTGTACCGGGACAGAGACTCCAGCTGATATAACACCTGCAAAAGTATAGTTATCTGAAATTATTGAAAGTAATTATTCGTGCATTTACGATGTTAAGTAATATAATATGGTAATATCAAAACTTTATACTAATTATTACATAATATGTTATATGTTAATTTTATAAAAAAGTTATTGGGTTAGATACGAAAATCATTTCGAAATGTTTACATTATAAAATTGTGTGATTTCTGTACCTGTATTTCCTGTAGTTCCAGTGACACTATTACTTCCGTAAACATGTTGAGGGGGTTGCTGATGTGCTGCTGCTGGATTGCATGATGTTCGTGTATGTGTCGCATAAGGAGAACTTAACGCAAGTGGATCATGAAACATGTATGGATAACTATCACGTTGTTGAAGACATGTGGACGTCATTGAACCCAATGACGTTGTCATAGAACTAAACACATAAATTAATATAAATAAATTTTGTAACTATTTTACACATTTACTTGTAGTTTTCTGCAATTGTCGCAATGGGTTGAGGTATTGAAGAATACATTGAATTGAAACCTGTATTCAGTGGCAATCGTGGTGCTACGGCTTGAAGAGGTGGACTTATAGATGTTGTGTGAGCGCCTTCAACTAGAATTGCTCCCGCTCCATTACTTTGAATTGTGGAGCCAGCACCATTTGAATTTTCTGTTACATTATTTGTTACATTTGGTGTATGACTAGAATTTTCTTGGTTATTATTGCTCATTGTAGTTGGATTTCTACTACTGCTTCTTTCATTATTAGATACATGATCAACGGAACGACGTTGCGTACGAAGTTTTTCTTCCCGTCTCCACTTTGCTCGGCGATTAGAAAACCATACCTACATTGTTCAAGAAAGTTAAACGTTATGAGTAACTAGAAAATTCTATATTAGCACATAAAACATTAAAAAACATTGAAATAAAAAAATCATGTTCTATGTATAATAATATAAAGCACATTAAAATTTATGAAAACTGCACCATATTTGAAAATATAGTTAACCACAAATGAAAACTTAAGTGACAGTTCAGTGGTTGTTAAAATCCCTGTCCAACTATGTATTAAAATTAAACTGCAGAAATCAATTTATTTTTCATTTGACATGCGACTTTTTGGCAGGTTAATTAAGGCGCCTCTTTTATAGATTAACCTAACACTGCCGCTGAACTGCCATGAACACAACGAAATTAATAAGACTTCTGAAACTTTTTTTATTTACTGAACAGTAATCAAAATGAATTCCGGTTTATTATTTTACAAAAATTGTTGTATTTTTAGTGCATGGTTGGTTGGTTGGTTGGTTGCAGTGGCAGGTCATAAGATAACTTCAAATGTACCTCAATTAGCGATTTTTCGCCGTTTTGTTACCACATTCCTCGCAAGAACCCTAGTATAGAAGAGTAGAGACTAAATCCATCCCACCGAATTAGGTAATTTAACAGGTCTTTCATCCTTACCATTGAGCAGTCTGATAAACTATCACAAAAGTATTTTCCTAAGAACCTATATCTTCTGGATGCTAGAGCTGGGCATTCACAGAGAAAATGTATTATTGTTTCTTTCTCCCGCGGGTTTCCACAACTTCTGCAGTGAGAGTTATAGGGAATACGCAGTTTCTCTGCGTGAGTTCCTAACCACCAATGACCAGTAAGAACCGCAATAAGCCTTGCAGTGTTTACGCGATCTTTTTTGATGAGTTCCAGAGATTTATTTTTATTATAAGTGGGCCACGTTAACTAACCTGGCCACGTTAATTTTTAGTGCATACAAGTCGTACTTTATTTTTCCCAAATTACTTCTTTATTGTTCCAGCGCTAATTACTAAATGAATCAATATTAGTGATAAAAGCATTTAGATAAAAAATTATAGTTGAAGTATTTCACGTTTTTATATATATATATATATAAGCTTAACTAGGTATAGGTAACATATCAAAGTATTTTTGCTGTTCAAGAAGTGGGGAAGATCTTCTTTCTTGATTTTGCCATCACTATGGTTATGGTTAAGTCTATATATTTATGTAGAATATAAGACGCAATACGAAAATAAAATTTTTAGCAGCTTACTAGATGGAGTTATAAAAGCGTTTCAAAGCTTAGTTGTCTTGACCTATTAATATTAAAGATCATGACAACATATTAAGCTCATTAATCGTTGATTACTATTAGAATAATATATTTCATTTCTTAATAAGCGAAATATAGTCAAAAGCAGTGTAGTCAAAAATACATTTCCAGATTTAGAATGATACATGTTGAATGATACATGGGCAGGCGCATAGAACGTGTTCTGCTGTTTTCTGTTGACAGAGTCGGTAGGAAATGTTTTCTGTTAGACCAATCTTTTTCAGATGGTATCACTGTCTACAGTGGCCTGTTAGCAGTTTGTGTAGAGTTTGATATCTGTTCTGCTTAAGTTCAGAACAGCTTCAGCCTTAATATGTTCAGGGATAATAAGTCGTTTTGACTGCCGCATGCCTTTTTGGGCTCTTCAGAAGTCAGTTAGGTTTTGTTTTTCCCTTTCGCTTACTAGGCTGATTTTGAAGGTGTGTAAACAGAAAAAGAAGAGTGCAAATATAAAAATACAAGTAAGGTCTTTGTGGAACACACCCCAAAAACTTCTTAAATTGACTTCAATAGAAAATTAATAGTACATCTTATTAAATCTTCCCATCCGAATGTATCTTCTAAAAGAAAATTCTGTAAAAGTACACAATATGGATGTAACGATAGGCATTTGAAAACTCACAGAGGAATCATAGTGATATATAAATTGTAATAACAATAATAAAAACTGATTAAGATAAAAATTAAACTTTTAAAATACTCAGATGCTTACTCTACATAATAAGTATAATAGTAAAGTAGTATTCATAAATATTTACTCATTTCAGTTCCAAAAAAAGAAAAATACGATTTAAAAGTAGTTAAACATAATTAACGATCACAATTTTGAAATTTGAGGCTAAAAATCCATTTCACCCTAAAGTATTATAAAATTTTGACAGCTCCTATTTTTGTCCATCCCTTATATGAGAGTTAAAAACTGGTTCAAAACAGAACTTAGAATAAAAAGCGAGTATTAAATTTTCTTTTACTCATAAATAGAATAATGGTGCGGGAACGTATGAAATGCAAAATAATGTGTACGAAAAAAAATAGATGAGTGTTCG